GTCTTATGGTGAATTCTATTATTAGGTGATCACTGTCCCCCAGATGGCTACCGATCTGTAGGTCCCCTACCATGTCATCCCCCGTTGCCAATACTAGATCCAGTATGGCATTCCCCCTAGTGGGACCGTGTACCTCCTGTGTCAGGTGGAGGTCCTGTACACAGGTTAGAAACCTGCTTGAGTGGTGGGACTTTGCTGTCTGTGTCTCCCAGCAGATGTCTGGGTAGTGGTCCCGCCCCTTGCTGCTGATTGGCGAAGGCCCCAGTGGCCCCCACCACTGATTGGCCGAGGGGACTGGTGTCCCTGTCCCCCTCCCACCAAAGGGATGTCCTGTATTCTGGGGATGCATCAGTGGCCACCCTACAAGTAGCAGATTTTTTTGTTTAGCCAAAAACAAAATGGAAAATGGAAAATGAAACTAAGCTGTTAGGTAACTGGCAACCACAGCCAGAAAGGCGGCTTGTCCAAAGGGGTTGGGTATTAATGAAATTCAAGACACTTGGGTTCAACTGTCAGCTGCAGAATAGATTTCCTCAGGGATTTCAGGCAAGCCACAAGCTTTCTGTGCCTCATCTATGGATGGGCTAACAGCACTTCCTTACCCGAATAGTTATGAAGGTGAACACAGAGACCATCAAGGCCTGGGGTATCATGGTAATAGTGGCCATGTTAGTAGCCCATGCAGTATTTTCAGGGGGACCTAACTGCACAGGGAAAACAAACGGGAAGCAGAAAGGAATAGAAGCAGTTCCAAAGATTCCTCTCCCACCCCTTGTTGGGTACAGCTTAGTGGGAGGGAAAAGAAAGACATTCAGGAACAAAGCAGGATAACTTAATTGGCTCGCCTGGGCTGCATGGAGCACTGGGAATTCTAGGGGGCACCTATACACGTGCTGGATGGCTGCTCCACTGTGCTCGACTAGTCAGAGCAGCCTCCACAGCACGTGTATTCAGCACCTCTGTGCTTCAAAATGGTGGCAGGGCACTTTAACTAAAGCTCATTTGATGAACTTTATTAAAGTGCCCCTGCTGCCATTTCGAAGCATGGAACATTGAATACATGGGATGCGGCGCAGATTTTAACTAGATTTAACTGCTCCAATTAAAATCGCACTCCCCTCCCCCACACACACACAACCCTGGAGCATGTGTAAAGATGCACGTGTAAAGACAGACAAAGAAAAGGTTTGTGGGTTTTTAAGAAATTTTGATGAGGGTGGTGGGGGGAGGGGAGGATTCAATATTTTTCTTTCCAAATTCCACCCTTTTCTTGGTCTGTTTTTAAATGCACCAGCTACAAAAAAGGGCTCCTCGAAACTTGCCACACAAGTGCCTCCTACAGCATTTGGGTACCAGGGTGAGCAGCTCACAGCCAAGCAGACTAGGGCACCAGCAGAAATCTAAGACAGGTCTAACCGTGCGCTGGCACCCTGCAGGAGGAATATTCTTGAGCACACCCCACCCTCTTGCTCCTTCTGACACACGCCAACCCCAGAAACACAGAGGTGAAGCTCACTGCAGGGGCATCTCCTTACGGCTGCTCTCAAGCATACCAGAGATGGGGGTCCCAAGGGCAGTGTCCTCAGAGTAGCTTCACTGCCCTATTTTCAGGTTTGGGATAAGTGATCAGGAACAGGCAGGTAAGGTGTGCTTGAGAGTGTCCCTTCCTAGGAGGGCCACAGACGCTGGCTAGACATCCCCTTTGTGGATGATGCTTAGTGGCTCCTGGGTCCTACTAGCCCCTTGGAGCAGGGGGATGCATCTCCTTCTGGTCTGCACAGCCCCTTGCACTCCTACAATGACCCATAATAAATCACATTCCCTACAGTTAAGGTGCAGCTCTCCGTTTCCTTCAGTCTGTTCCACTGGTCCACATAGATTTCTGACTCTTCGCTGTCTTCCAGATTGTTGATGAAGTGGATGAGACTTGTCCTCCTCTCCTCCAGCATGGCCTGGATCCTGTTCATGACATCCTGCTTCTTTGCCTCCACTTCCCCCTCATCACAGCAGTCTATATGAGTTCCCACTGGGAGGACCACTGAGTTTGGGATTCGCATGAAGAGGTTGTTGATCCAGAAACCAACAAGCTCCTTGAAGACTTTGTCATTAAGCTGGTACCTGAAAGGAAAAAAACAAACAAACCCACATACCTTAGGCTCTCAGCTGGTTACTCTGGGCACCGGCAGCGGGAAGTGAGATGGTAACAAAATGCATCTGGGTCAGCATAGGCCTGCCACAGTAACAAACACAAGTCCCTAGAGCTTGAACAGAGGGACTAGAGGATCAGTCGGTCCCTCAGTTCATGTGGTGGAGCCAGCACACCATGCAGAGATAACCAAGCGAGCTCTAGATTCCAGGTGTACATAGTTACATGTATGTAGCTCTGCACTCAGGCTAACTCACTTGGGAGAGAAGTCAACTAATTAACTTGGGTACTGTACTGCTGTCATAACTGATTCTGGCTCTGGACCCAACAAGTACAGAGCCAGTCTGTGCATCCCCGCACTGTATTGCTTTGAGCCCAATGGACCTACCCTGAAACTTCGAGCTTAGTGTTGGGGCAGACATTCTGTACTGTAGAGCAGACACAAGGCATACAGCAAATGCTGAACAGTGGTTTCATATTAACACCTTCCTTGAAATCCCCTGGCACTGGGTGCATACAGCCGAAACAATTGCTCTGCACCAAAAGTTTCATTCCTGCACACTGATAGACTCAAATATTAGGATAAGACCCAAGGGCCTCGGATCCACCCAGTGAGATGGTATTCACACTACAGGCAGCTACGTCTCACAGACATGGATTGTGGCCTGGGCCTCAGGGAACCATTGGCAGCTCTGCCATTGACCTGCTGCCTGACTTTGAATAAGCCCCCCTCCTCTCTCTCTGTCCAGATTTTTCCTCCCACCCTTCACAGGCCTCAACTGTCTAGATTGCAAACTCTCCAAACACACACTCAGATCATATAGTGCTTACTGCTGGAAGTTAATGACTAGGATGACGAGGGCCTGGGGGGTGATGAAGACATGGTGAGTCATGTAGTACTCCAGCTGGCCAGCAAAGTCCCAGAAAAGAAACGTGAAGTCCTGAATGCGGAACTCGCTGATCTCAATCCCAATGGTCCGCGCTTCCTTAGACAATGGGACTGCTCGTCTCTGCTGCAGGCTCTTGCAGATAGTGGATTTCCCTGCCAGCGAGGCCCCCAGGAACATAGTCTTCACCCTCCGGTCCTCTTGTGCCTGGCATGTCTGAAGCTGGCTGAAGTAGCTCAGGATCTGCTGGATTCCCCCAGCGCAGACTTCACCGGGAGGTTCCCTCAGAGGGTTCCCATTTGCTTTGAACATTTTCAGTGGCCGCCCAGTGAACAGCCCAACGGGCAGCTGGTGCAGCATATTATTTTGTATGTAGAAGTCCTGCAAACTTGCCAGTTTCAAGACAGCCTGGGGGATGTCTTGGAACAAGTTGTTGGAGAGATTGAGATACTGGAGGCTGCCTTGACAAGTGGCCAGGTCTTTGGGGAGGTCACTAAGACGGTTGTTGTTCAACCGCAAGTGTTTCAGCTTAAGAAGACAGGAAAAGATCCCCTCCGGGATGACCCGAATTTGGTTCTGATTCAGGTCCAGCTTCTCCAGATGGACGAGACTCCGGATTTCCTCTGGAAAGTCAGCAATATCATTCTTGGACAATATCAGCTTCTTCAAGTTGCAGAGCTGAGAGATCCCAGGGATGCGTTTCAGCTTGTTGCGGTCCAGGTTTAGACTTTCCAGCGAGGTGTCACACAAGACAGTAGGAGGCAGCACTCGGAGCCTCAGGGTGGAGAGAGTCACTTCCCGTGGGTAGTCACTTAGCTCCTGACCTGATGAATGTGACATGATTCTAGTTTAAGCACCAAATTTCCTTCAAGAGCTTACCACCTGCTAGCCCTCTCACCTCCCAGAAGTCTGCCTTCCCATACAGGGGACTGAAAGGATATTGCAAGCCACTGAGTCTTTGACCCCTGTTCTTGACCCTCCCCAAGCTCATCACAAGAGGGTCCTTTTAGGTGCCATTTCTAAGGCAAAGTGTGGGATCTATTTTAGCAGCAGACTGTCTACATGTTGCATCTGCCACATGGTACTGTGTAGTCACCCTGAAGAGGAAATGAACAATAAGCAAGGCAGGGTGGGGAGAGAAGAGAGATGAGCTGAGAAAAGTCAGATCACTGCACTGTGCTGTCACTTGGTCAAGAGCCAAAGCAGAGGACGACTGTTGTGTGATCTTTAAGTGACAATAGCTTAGGCAGGTAACCTCACAGGCACCTGGAAGACTCTAGCCCCTACTGGCACAGCACTTGACCACTGAGACAGGGAAGGAGAGCAACTTCTAGAGCTAGCCCTTATTCAGTCTGCAACACTGCAGAGCGAAAGGCCATATAACTACTGGCCAGCAAGATGTAGTGACGGTTAAGAGGCTAAGAGTCAACTTGAGGTCCTCCCTCATACCCATATTCAGAAGCACCCCAAGCTGATTCATTATGGGATACCTGACTAGGGACAGGACTGGACACAAGCAAGAGCCACCTAATTCGTAGCTACAAGGAGCAGCTACTGGGGCCTGTGCAAGGGCCTAGACTAGAGCTTGGGTGTAAGGGCCCCGCTACAGGAGGGACATGGGGGAAGTGGAAGTTGATTCAAATTTGTTGGAAAGAAAGTGAGGTCATAGGGTGACTACATCTCTCTCAAGCAGAAGCCAAGCTATCTGGCTACCTCCTCTGTCGCAGGGAGGATGGGTCTCTGTCTAAGGACACTTTAAATCAAAGTAAGTGTCACAGACTCATTTCCCTTCTCCCAGGACAGCAGCTGCAGGACTCCTTTGAACATGGCTCCAGGCTCAGAAGCCAAACTCAGAAGTATTCTCGCCCCATTCTCCACTCTTATAACAGGAAGGGAAAGTAGTCGTCCCTTCGCCCCAGTTATACCTGCCACCCACTCCCTCTGGCAACAAGCAACAGTCTAGGCTGGACATGAGCAAGAGGGGAAAAGAGCTCCTACTCACAGGCTTTGTGCTTGGCCATGTTGTCGGCTGTAGGGTGCTGCAGCTGCCGTGACAGGATCTATACTGGACACGCTGACTCCTGTTTTCATTTCCTCATCTCCTTATGACACTGCTCCCCCCTGCTTTCTGAGCAGCTCCTTCAACCCTCCCCTTCCTTCCATCCGATTTCAAAACCTGCATCAGCCTTGCACAACGCAATGGAGGAGCTGTGCATTTGTTACTGTACATGGTTCCTGGGAGAAGAGATTCTCTTGGGACTGCAGCTACTTGCTTCCAGCAACCTCCGATTAGTTGGTGCCGCTGCTAAAGCTGTTTCGAGATCTACTTCTCTCAACCTTTCCTGAAGGACGGCTGCACAGAGGGTGCCTACATACTAGAAAAACAGTGCTAGACGACCAAGGAATGGCTTTGCTCATCTCCTATCCCATCCTCTGGGGCTGTAGACAATGTGATGCATGTTGATGGTTGGAACATACCTAGGCCTGGCAGGATTCAATTTAAAAAAAAAAAAACTGATAAACATTGATTTCACCACACACACACACACGAAAAATATTTCCACCAGAAATAAATTACATTTATAGAAAGGGGACTGTTACTGGACACTGGAGAAGAGAGATGGAGGGACTAAAGAGGAAAACAATGGGTGGCTTAATGACTGGTCAGTAAGGCAGTTAGCTACTCATTCCCAGCCTAATGACTCATAAATTAAGCAATTAGCTGCTTTTCACAGGTGGGGGGAAGCAGGCTGGAGGGAGATAACAAGCTACTTAAACCCCTACCCAAAGGTGGTGAAGAGGGGAAGGAGCAGGGGGTATTTGAGGCTCCAGCCCAGTGCCAGCCAGGCCCTGCCCAGACAGGGCAGGATAAGCGATGGAGGTTGAGGGCAGCCACAGCCTCTCCCCATGTTCCCAGAGCTCTGGGATTGCTGCTGCCCTCTTCTGGTCTCTGCCCACCGG